TATATATATATATACAAGTTTGTGAGAATTAAACACAGAACCAGCATATAATACTACTATCTCACATCTGAACATTTATCCAAAGAAATTGAAGTCAGAATCTGGAAGAGATAACTGCGCTTCCATTTTCACAACAACATTATTTACAATAGCCAAGAGGTAGAAGTAGTTTAAGTGACAAAATTGTGTATATGTAATTTATTTTACACACACACACATACCTGGATATTATTACTCAACTATCAAAAGGGGTAAAGTGCCAGGCTTGGTAGTACATACCTGTGATCCCAGTTTTTTGGGGAGGCTGAGGCAGGAGGACCATGCATTTGAGCCCCAGCCTGGGCAATTCAGTGAGACTCTATCGTGCAGTAAAGCAATTTTAAATGGGTAGACACAATGGATGTAATCACTGCAAACATGTACCAATTAAAATATTAAAAATGCAAAAGGGTTTAGTTATATAGCTCAGTGGTAGAGTGTTTATGAGTTCAATTTCTAGTACTACACAAAAGAGAGAAAGAACAAAGGCAGGGGCCAGGGATGCAGTTCAAAGGCATCCCGCCTGCCTGGCAAGTGCAAGGTCCTGAGTTCAATTCCTGATACAAAAGAAAGAGAAATTGGTTCACTTATCCAGACCCCTCAAAAAATTGAATTTAGAGGCAGCAAGAGCAGCGGGAGCCAGGTTTTAATACAGCCAGACTTGCAAGCCTGGTGTCTGAAGGAAAGGAACACAGCTGGCAGCACAGGATTAACAGCCCATGGTGCAGCTCCCTCCTCATTGGCTGAGAACTATGGGAGGTACAATATCGCCCAGTGGGGCTGATGAATCCCAGGTCCCCCTTACGTTTGAGTTTGGACTGGTTCATAGTATCATCTGTTCTTTATTTGGGGACTTTCTGAGAAGCAGGTGCATCAGGCACCACACTGATTACTGGCACCTACCTTCTGCCGAGGTTCCCTCACAGATTATCTTTATCTTTCCTTCAAGCTCCCACGTGCCCAGGGACTCTCCAAATGCACGACCTCTGTCAGTCAGTTAGAAAACAGGTAGGGGAGGTAGAAAGACAAGGGAGGGGAAGCTAGCCAGACTTGGGAGAGGTGCCAAGGACACAGTTACCAGAAAAGCCAGCTCCCCCCACCCACCTAGCAAATGCAAAGACAATAAGAGACACCCATCTAAGGGTGCATCTAATATGTAAGACACTCACACATGCCCGCACACCTACACATTGACACACTTATGTATGTTCTTATGACAGCAAAATTAGATAGAAATATTCTAGGCAGTCAGACAGGGCTAGGGCTAGGCCCTTGAGGGAGTCAATGAAGAGGATGAGAACACATTACCAGTGTGGCTGGAGACGGATCTGTTGAAGGTCAGGCTTCAAGACAAAGACAGAATGAACAGGCTGGCCTGCCTCCCCAAGGGATAAGCAATAAATTGAACATTATACTATAATTAGTATCAACTGGTCCAATAAAGTCTAGATGGACATCAGTCACAGGTAGGTGACCAGGACCTCCCAATCCTAAAGAGGTCCCTGTTCTTTCCGTGTACACTTGTTACATGACCTGCTTTCCCATTGGATCAACATTACCTAAGAAGCTATACTTGTAATCTTACCGGTTGATCATAATTTTGACCCAAGTTGTACCCACCTTGTAATTTTGTACCCACCTCATGATTTTATTTACTTATTTTTATTTATTTTGCGGTACTGGGGAATCAAACTCAGGACCTTGCACTTTCGAGGCAGGTGGTGGCACCACTGAGCTAAATCCTCACATTCCTCCCCCCCACCCGTGATTTTGCTCTATAAAACCTTTGAGGGGCCAGGGATTTAGCTCAGTGGTTTTGCCATCTGACTTGTAAGTGCATGGTCCTGAGTTTGATTCCCAGTACACCCCCTAAAAAAATTCTCCTTTGCGAAGTAGACTCATTGGCAACCCACTTTTGGGTCCCCTCAGATCACTCAGGACCTCTTTCTCTCAACAGATTTTTCCTTTGAACCTTCACTGTTCCTTAGAATTCATTCTTTGATTTTGGGGAACATGGACTCAGTGTATCTTACATTTAGCAGGTGGGGAGTTACACTTATTCCCCCTATATAATTCTCACTTTTAACATCAGTATAATATCACACCAGATACACACATGGGCACAAGTCCTCTTAATTATTAAGTCAGCTGCCTTCCTAATAAACCCTCCCTCTTTATGATTTCATCACAAAGGGATAGGAATGGCCAGAAGGCCTAGGCCAGGGTCAAAGATAGTGACAAGTACCTACTTAGGGGATAGGAAAAGACCCTAGTCCCTTGGAAAAGGAGCCAGGGATATGAGCTCACAGGCTTTTAGCTCTGAAGCCCCCTACCACCTCATAGTAAGTAGCTGTGTATCCTCTTTCTTTTCCATCTTTTTCCACAAACAAACCATCTTTGTTACACTGAACTTTGCCCTTTTTTAGTTTTTTACTGGCACCAGGTTTAGGATGGCATGGAGCTGCATTTTCAGCAGAGCAGTGACACGGTGTTCTTGCAGACATCTAGGTTAAGTAAAAATATTATAGGGCTGGGGATTTAGCTCAGTAGTTCCACCACCTGCCTTGCAAGCACAAGGTCCCGAGTTCGATCCCCAGTACCAAAAACAAAATATTATAGTCAGTCAAATAAGGCTGGACCCTCAAAAGAGTCAATACAAAAGATGAAAACACATTACAACAGTGCATTAGGTGGAGGCCAAACCTCAAGATAAAGATGGAATGATCAGGCCTACACACTTCCCCGAGGGAGGTGATAAGTGGTAATGACACCTGGTCTAGTAAAGTTTAGATAGACATCAATCACCTCGGTGGGTGACCAAGACCCTCAGATCCATCACCTTCCTAGAAGTTCTTTGTTCTTTCTATGTACACTTGTTATGTGACTTGTTCCCCATTGGGTCACTATTACCTAAGCAACTATACTTGTAACCTTATTGGTTGATAAGAGCTTTAACCCATGTTGTACCCATTGAGGTTGTGCTTTATAAAACTTCCCCTGAAAAGTGGGGTCCTCGGCTATTTATTTGGGACCCCTCCTACCTCTCAGGAGCTATCCTCTCAATAAACATTTCCTACTTTTAATCTCCATTATTTCTAAAATAAATTCTATTTTAGAGAATAGAAACTTGGTGTATCAGCCATCTAACAGGTTGGGCATTATATTTCCATTTAGAGATCCTATTTCATCTCTGATATCATAACTATCACCATGACACAACATGGTGAGCTATCCACTGCTGAATGTAACATTCCAGCCCACCCTCGGAACAGCTACATCCCCAGCCCTGGTTTGTCCCCCGCCCCATCCCTGTTTTTTGAGACAGGGTCTCCATAAATAGTTCAGGCTGGACTTGAACTCACAGAGATCCTCCTGCCTCTAGTTTCTGAATGCTGGGATCACAAGCATGTGCCACCACACCTGACTATCTTGTCTCCTTTATTCTTTAATTTTCCAATAGGAGATCAAACTTGGGTCCTTGTGCTTGCAAGGCAGGTGGCAACACCACTGAGCTAAATCCCTGGCCCTCTTGTCTCCTTTTTTACCAACATTTTATTTTATATTTTTATCTTATTGCAAGTGTGAAGGCCCCTGGGTCTGATCCCTAGTAACATCAAAATAAAGAAAAAAACAAAAAATCCATAGCAAAATAGTAGCAAACCAAAGCTAAAACATAAGAGAATTATACATCTTGGGCCAGTGGGATTTTCCCCCTGAATGTGAGGCAGTTCTGGGAAGCAGGGCCACTGCACTGATCAGCAGTACAGGCTACACATCTCTTGCTGCACTGTTACTATTCGCTTGAGTGAAGGACGGCTGAACACTCAAACAAGTTACGTGAAGCCTGTTTCCTATTTGCAAATTTCCACCAGGGGATAGCGAAGGCTGCAGGTTCTGGGCTGACAGATTTCTCCAAGCTCAGGAAAAGTGCCCTGGGGCCCAGGAAGCCAGGTCTGCATCCCCTCTCCCACCCCTGCTGGTGGCAGCCTAGGGATCTTGTAAGCCCCAGCCTTGGGCTTTGCATCTGGACCATAGGGCATCCTTGGCTGAACCCTGAAGAGCACCCACTTCCCCAGAGGCCTGGGGCTTGGACCAGAGCTCCACCAGGCCCTTAACTCAAACTGCTGTACTCTCAGCATGTTCTCTGTTATTCTTGAGAACTACAAGTGAGAAGATGGGAAAACTGAAGATCTGTCCTGCAGGTTCCACATGAGAACTTGAGCCAATGTAATATACGATGTGAGCAAAACATGTGTTGAATGTTTAAGCTTTAAAAAATGTATTACAGAAAAGACACATTCCCATGTTCCCCTTCAAAATCCTCCCTCTCACTTTGCACACACTTAGCCCATCATTCTTGCCACTTTCTGCAGCCGTTCTGGAGTCCTCTTTCATAAGTGCCTTTAGTTGTGTTATTGTGGCTGCCTGGATGTCCTGAATTGATTCAAAACATTTCCCTTTCAAGGTCATTTTGACTTTGAGGAAGAGCCAGAAGTCCCAGGATGCCAGATCTGTTGATTAGGGTAGATGAGGACACAGCGTCATGTTTTTGACAGAAATTGCATACCAGAAGTGACTTGTGACACAGAGCTTTGACGTGATGGAAGATGAAAGCATTCGCCCATTTCTATGCACTTTTTTTGTTTTGTTGCTTTTTGAGACAGGGCCTTGCTACATAGCTCAATCTGGCTTTGAACTTACTATGTAGCCAAGGCTGGTCTCAAGCTCCCAAGTGCTGGGGTTACAGGCCTGCACCACCACACTCGACACAGGATGTGGCTCATAGGTAGATCATTTGTCTAGCATGTTCGAGGCCCTGAGTACAATCCCCAGTACCACAAAAGGATTATTTATTTATTTTTGGTACTGAGGATCAAACTCAGATCCTTGTGCTTGCAAGGTAGAGGGCAGAACCACTAAGCTAAAGCCCCGGCCCATAAAAGGATTAAAAAAAAAAAAAAAAGACATGTCACGAAATGAAGCTTTTCCCTGCCATTAACGATGAACTGTAACATCTCAATATGTGATTGAGTGTAATTTACCATATCTCATCAATTTTGTGGCAAATTTTTCCCCAAAATTTAACATTTTAAAATTGGAAGCATCTTCCTGGGCTGGGGATTTGGTTCAGAGGTGCTGCTGCCTGCCTCGCAAGTGCAAGGTCCTGAGTTCGAGCTCAGGTACCACAATAAATAAATAAATAAATACATACATACATACATACATACATAAATACATAAATAAAATTGGAAGCATCTTACAATTAATGGGTGTAATAATTAGTAATTTCCACTCTTGATAAAGTGACTCTGGAGCCAGGACAGCTCAGAAGAGGTCCCAGCAGGGTGTCCTGACACTTGTGGACTACGGATAGTGACACAACTCACAGGTAAGGCGCTCATGAATCTCGACACCACAGGACAGCCTGTTTGTTACCTAAAGGTTTTTGTTTGCTTGCTTGTTTTGGAGACAGGAGATTGCTATATAGTACATGTTGGTCTTGAACTCACTGTGAAGCCTAAGTTGGCCTCAAACTCACAACAATCCTGCCTCAGCCTACCGAGGGCGGCGATCACAGGTGTGCAACTTCAACCTATTTTTGCGCTGTGATACACTTTGTATGAACCCAATTTTCAGTACTGGCTTCCTAACAGGTGCAAAGAGTACCTCACTCTAGAGAAACTACCCTCGGCTGTGGCTCTCCAGCCTCTCCAGGTGCACAGCAGCCCCGCCCGGCCCCAGACGCTTCAGCATTGGCCGTTCTGCGCCGTGACGCTCGCCCCCTCTGTGACGTCACGATCCAGACCCAGTGAAAGGGGCGGGACTCTTCTCCAGGGGCCGACTACGTGCTGGCGTCACACGCTGAGGCGGGGCTGAGAGTTTGGTTCCCCGAAGTGGGGAGTCCGCGTCTCATTCCGGTGGAGCAGAGCGGTAGACAGGTAACTGCGCGCTGCACCTGGGAGTGGGTCAGTGCCGGCTGCCTAGACACTTGCCAGCCGGAGGTCACGGCTGAGGGTGTGGCTGCCGCGTCCTTGGGTCCTTGGACGCTGAGGTGACGGGAGTGGAGCTGGACCGAGCGGGGCAGACGGAGGGCGGCGGTGGTGGGCGGATGCAGGGGCTTGACAGACAGACGCGGTA